TCATTGTTCTAACTTTTAAGAAAATAAAATCACTCACTTCAAATTATATCATTTTATGCTTAGGATCATATCATTTTTGCTGACAATCCTGATTTGCTTTTAATTTGTCTCTAATTAATTTGATTTTTTTAGTATCTTGATCAACTAACTGCATACCCAAAAGTTATCTCTCTCCAATTTCAAACTAACTTAAAAGAGTTTTGCATCTTTTGACATACAATATCTCATATGGTGTCATCTTGATATTGGATTGGTAGTTATTATTATAACTGAAATCTATCAACAGAATATGATCTTCTCATCTATCTTTAAAATTCAGCATACATAATCCTAACAAATCTTCTAGCACTTGAATCAATCTTTTTGATTGTCCATCAATTTGTAGATGAAATGTAATACTGAACTGCAATTTTATGCCCAAACTTTCATGAATATTTTTCCACAGTTTAGATGTAAAACATCCATCTCTGTCTAACAAAATGACTTTAGGAAATCTATGCAATCTGATGATTTTCTTCAAAAATAACATAGCTAATTTCTCCACTAAACCAGTCTGACAAATAGGTGGAAATTATGCTGATTTTTTTTTTTAATGTCAATCACTACCCATATGCAATCCTTAATCTAGGAAATCTTGTGACAAAATCCCCCGATATATTTTCTCACTTCCATTCTAGGATTGGTAAGGATTGCAGCATACCACTGGGTTGCTGATGTTTAGCCTAACAACTTGACACTTCTCACATTTTGCCACATCTTCTACCACTTTTATTTTCATTCAAAGCCACCAAAAAAAAGCTTTTAATTCTTTATACTTCTTTGTGCTTCTTGGATGGATAGAATAATCTAAGTTATGAGCTTCATATAAAATATATGAAATCTATGGGCTCTGAAAAATTCACGCCCTGGCCTCCCATGCATAGGAGAGTTTTAACGATGTTTCGGATCAAATTTTTAGAAAGCAAATTAACTTTAGGATCCGCTGGCGAGAAATTATTTGAGAATGAATCACAGTGATATATTCAATTAGACATTTTTGCTCTTTGTAAGCTGAAATTATTTTGAAATTTATCATCCTTAACAAACGTTTGCGGATGATGGATGGATTTTTTTGTTTAAGTTTTAAATAATAAATTTCATTTAAATATTGTAAAATTTATCGAGATTTTGTTCCAAATATTATTTAATTTAAAATTTTGGGGGTATTTTAAATGTTTGAGATCCCCTCCGATATAAATTAGCTTTCAACACGTCCATCCTTGGGGTGAATTTGGAGTCATTTGAAAATTTTTGTATTTTGTAGAAATTTGAGGGTATTTGGAATATTTGATCCCCTCCAGTTGATATAAACATTCAATACGGTCATCATCCGGGCAACTTTGGTATTTTAAAATATTTGTACTTCATAAGCATTTGAAAATATTTGAAGGTGTAGAATTCCTTCCGGTTGATATAAACATTCAACACGTCCATCATCGGGGATTTAATAGCATGTATACCAAGCTTTTAAAATTTAATATGAACGCTTCTCGATGTGATGACTTGCTTCTCAAGGCGGTAACACACTTCTTAGGGCTTGTGGCGGTCGCTTGCTTCCCAAGGCTACTACACACATCTTAGAGGCGTCGGTACCTTGCTCGATATTGCATATTGAAATTTAGAAAATTTTATTTTAATACAAGAGGGGTTGTAATTTAAGTCATGTTAACTTCGGTCCTTTTGAGGAGGAGGATGAGACTTGAATATATCACTATCAGAATTTGTCATGTTTCGAATTCACTTTATTATTTTGGCAAATCCCAATGGGACGGGAGAAAATTTGTATGATCTTTTGATTGATAATAAATTATTTAAGGAAAAGCTTTAGTTACGATAACAATCTTTTATCCCACTACGTGAACTCGACTACATGTGTAGCACCCCACTATACTCCTTATGTATCGTAGAGTGTCATTGATATAAAAATAATATATATATTACATCTAATACTTTTGATCATTGAATACTTAAGTATTTTTCATCCAATGAACAATATATTTTTTGAATAAATGGAAGTATTCAAATCTAAATAATCTCAATTTCATCACAAAAATAATTAGAACATTGAACATTCTACATACCTCAGCTATAGACTCACATGTATAGTTAAACAATAGAATATTAAGCAATTAGTTCTAACACTTATCTCATTAACCAATTAACCCTAACAATTTCATTATAATTATCTTTAGAACCTTTACTAAATTTAGGAAATCTAAAAGACAACTATAAATTTAATAAACAAGTAAAATTTCTTACCTCTTCCTTCTATTTATATTTTCTTCTCCTTTCCACTGCTTCTTACTCTAACACGGCCATTATTCCCTCAATGCAATGGATCTTTCACACTGCCGCTGCTTCTTGTACTGTGTCTTGCCCTTCCAGCACTAATTATAATTAATATTAATCTAACTGTAATTTATCATTAAACTTTCAAATAAGTTTTATAATATATTTAATTAATTTAAATTTTTACATAGCTAAAAAAATTTTGGGTCTTACTAATCTTCCCTCAATAGAATTTTGTCCCCGAAATTCAACATTTTATACTTCTTCAAATATGTCAGGAAACTTCTACCTCATGTCTCTCTCTTTTTACCATATAGCCTAATTTACTAACTTGTGCTTTCATTTAAGTTTCACATAAGGAATTATTCTACTTTTTAATTTATGAGCATCTCTTTATAAATATTTTTTCAGATTCCTCAATATATGTCAAATCATTCTGAAGCTTAATTTCTTTTTACAAAACTCTTTGATTTTCATATGTAACCTATTTTCTAAGCATTGATACATGAAAAATATTATGTATATCAGACATATCTATAGGTAGTGCTAACTTGTAAGCAATTTTTCTCACTCTTTCAATGACTCGAATAGACCAATATATCTAGGACTTGGTTTTTCCGTTTTAGCCAAATCTAGAAATACCCTTCATTGGTCTAACTTTTAAGAAAATAAAATCACCCGCTTCAAATTCTATCAGTTTATACTTGGGATAATAGTATTTTTATTGACAATCCAGAGTTGCTTTTAATCTGTTTCTAATTAATTTGACTTTTTTCAGTATCTTGATCAACTAACTGCAGACCCAAAAGCTGTCTCTCTCCAATTTCAAACTAGCTTAAAAGAGTTTTGCATTTTTTTCATACAAGACCTCATATGGTGTCATTTTAATACTCGATTTGTAGCTATTATTATAAGTGAAATCTATCGACAAAATATGATCTTCTCAGCTACCTTCAAAATTTAGCATACATAATCCTAACAAATCTTATAGCACTTGAATCAATCTTTTTTATTGTTCATCAATTTGTGGATGAAATGCGATACTGAACTGCAATTTTGTGCCAAAACTTTCATGAATACTTTGATAGGAAGTACTTGTAGATCTCGAGTATTTCCTATCAATCTTCGAAAAACAGCGAGCTTTCTCCACAAAATCACAAAAATAGTAGATAATTTGTATTACTTGATGAAAGAGAAACATAAAATAGTAGAAACAAAAACCTAATGAGACTTGGGTTGACCAAGTCAAAGTTTGACTTGGTCAACTTAGTCAATTAGGTCAAAGGAGGTAGGGGGTTGAGCCAAAGATCGGGTTTGAACTGATTTGAAATTGAATTAGACTTATTAGGGCTCAATGGGTCAACTCGGGTTGACTTGGTCAACCAGGTTGACCCAAGAGATGAGTCTGAGCTCAATGAACTTGGTTTGACCCATGGAACCCAAGGGAGGTGAGAGATTGAGCCTAGATGCCGTGAAATTGATTTGAAATCAAGTAAAGGAGAGTTGGGTCAACCCAAGTTGACATGGTCAACCGGGTTGACTCAGGGCCCGGGACTTGGCTCGACCCATAGAATTGAATGGGAGAGGTCTTTGGGCCAGGCTTGGTCTGTTTGACCAAGTCAACCTCTTTGACCGGGAGTTTGAGTAAAAAGAAGGTCAACAATTCTACCACTTCACTTTTCATTCCAAGCCACCAAAAAAATGACTTTAAATCTGTATACTTCTTCATGCTTTCTGGATGGATGGCATAATCTAAGTTATGAGCTTCATATAAAATCTCCTGAATCAAGTTTGATTCCTTTGGTATCCATAAATACAAGTTGCTCCTGATTCCTCCCTATTCATCCACATTGAGATCTTTTATTTTTCCTGATTGCCATTGTTCAATAAAATTTGAATAGTAAGCAATAATCTTTTAAGCTTCCTTGATTCTTTCCTCTAAAGAAGGATAAACCATCATATGATTGAAGCTAATTGAATCATGATTACTCTGCATTCTGACATCTATTAATGTATTTTCCACTACATTAATCTTGCCTGGATAACACTGAATGTCAAGATCATAATATTTATCAATTATAGCCATATTCTCTATCTTAGATTTAATTTCTTTCGATTGAAAATTTATTTTAAACTTTTATGATATGTGAATATTTCATATCTCACACCATATAAGTAATGTCTCCAAAATCTTAATGCAAACAGAACTACAGTCAATTCTAAATCATGAGTTAGATATTTATTTCATGAGGCTTAACTATCTAGAAATATATGCAATCACATTTTCATTATGCATCAAAAATCAATGAATAATATAAATACCTTAGTTCCAGAAGGAACTGTCAATACTCGTGCAAATGTCAAACAGCTTTTTAATTCTTAAAAACTCGGCTCATATTTCCTAGTCCATTCAAATTTAATATCCTTCCAAGTCAACCTAGAAACTGAGTGCAATGGAAAGCTGAGTGCCTCCTTCCCACAATGTGCAATTCAGGCGTAATGGAAAGCTGAGTTTTCTTTTCACCTAAAACTCGGTATTGCTCGGTATACGTCTGTATTTTCGATTTTTGTCTGGACGTAATAATTACTCTAGTCAAAACACCCAACCAAGAGACCAAAAAGAGATGCATAAAAAGCTAAGTTTGATCTATGCAATGTGAATAACAAGCTCATACATAACAATTGAGTTCAATTCTCATCAAATCATTACAACATCAAAATTGTTGGAAGAAACTGTATGCAATGTCTCAGCAATGTTCATTGCAACACTTATATCCACATAAAAATTAAAAAAAAAATCAAAATCATTAAAAAAAGGGAGGAATTACATATATACCATAACTTTTATGTATTTATATATTTAACATCTTCATTTTTATATTTACTAATATAACACTCAAATTTCTAAAAAACATCAAAGTATCACTAGTATTAACTTAATTAAAGTAAAACACATATTTTCATCCATATAATTTTACACAACATAGATGCTAAAACGATATATAAATAAATATAAAGATTTAAATGTTAGATATCTAAATACATAAAAATTTTCTAGTACTCACATAAATCCTCCCAAAAAATCTGAAACCCTAAATCTTTCAAACAAACTGAACCAAGTCAGTCTGCGAGAAAACAAAACTATAAACAGAAAGAAGCAATAGAAATCAAGTAGAGGTGATGCCTGAAGGAGATTGTGGCGAACCACAGTCAAATAGAACACTTCGACTGCAAAATGATCTTGTTGTAGTACTTGAAGAAGATTGAAGACATATTCCACCATCATCACTGTAAGGAACAACTTCATCTTCTTCGTTGATACCTTTTCCAGACTTTCTGACACTGAATCTGCCTTCATCTTCCATGGCCTCAACAAGTCCTCCATGAATTGGGCTCAAGCTTTCATATAGAAGTTTCAGCACCTGCTTCATAGAAGGCCTTGCACTGCCTTCTCTGTGTGTGCACCATTTTGCAATCCGAATTACTACCTGAAGCTGCTCCTCATCAAATGAATTCCCAAGCTTAGGATCCACCAGACCAAATAGTTTTGAGTTGGTTTCAATGAATTGTTGGGACCATTCAATCAGATTACGATTGTCTTGTATTGCATGCCTCCCAGTCACTAGTTCTAAAAGTAGCATGCCGTAGCTGTATACATCGCTCTTCTCAGTGAGTTGCCGTGTCACCACGTACTCAGGATCTACGTACCCTGCCAATGTGTTTGGAAAAATCCTTAAATCTTATGTAGAATATTTTCGTTTCCATGTCTAAGACTTTTTTATTCATGAAAACAACGAACGGTTCTCCAAAAAGCGCTTCTAAGGACATCTCCAACCGAAAATCTTTCACTCCAAAATACAGTGAAACTAAAAAATGACGTGATTTATCTCCAATCGAACTCCATTTTACGCACAGGTAACCATCTTTCTCCTTCGCGCATTTCTTCGACAAATCCGGTGGAAACAAAAAAACAACGCAGGTGAACACGCCAATATTGGTGTCGCACTGTTCACCCGCAACCAAATACTAGAAGTTTTGCCGTTCGGATGGAGCTCTCAAGCGACAACATTCATGCGTTTGGAGTTCGGTTGGAGAAGGCCTAAGGGCATCTCCAACCGAAAAACTCATTTTTCACTCCAAAATACAGTAAAACATCAAAATACAGTAACTTTTTTCCAACCAAACTCTATTTTCTAACAAAAAAAAATCCTAATAGTTTCTTTCTCATACTTTATTTTATATATATTTTTAATCATATAAATACGTTAAAAAAATTTTAGCGGGTGAACAATGCGACGCTATATTTAACGTCGCATTGTTCACCCTCACCCGATTAGCAAATTTTTTGGCGTTCGACTAGAGCAAACCAGCAATGCCTTACAATTGTTTAGAGTCCCGCTGGAGATGTCCTAATAAGTGATCACCAATATGATAAAAGAGCCCCAATGTCACTCATTCAGGGGCTGTATCATGGTTGTTTTCTTGGGTAACGTGGCAGCATTCAAGTTAATAATCTGATACCATATAGTAATTTTGCTTTGGTACCTATTTTATCCCACTTTAGTTGAATCCATAAACATGGATATGAATCAGGTGAGATTTAAGAGGATGTAACTTGTAGCCAAATCTTTGTGCTCGGAAAGTGCTTATAGTTCGCAGAAGAATTAAGGATGTATTATTATAATAGAGAAATGATTCGAGTGCTTTGTCATATGAGATTACAGTTGTGGTTTTTCCCCCTTTTCAGGGGTTTTCCACGTAAAAACTCTGGTGTCTCTTATGAATGCTACACCCTCTCACTTATCTGCTTGTGTACTGGATCTTCGTACAATGCTAAGACGTTAAACTAAATATTTCTCTACCGCCGCGAATATTCCAGGACGCAACACTACTAATGGCAATAAGGAAATAAATACACCTTATAGGTTTGTAACTCGAAATATGGTTAACATTAACTAGTAAAAATTTTCATTAAAAAAATAAAAAAGCTCAGTATGGCTCAGTTTTTAACTAAAAAAATTGTATTTTAGGGATCTGAATGGCTTACCTGGAGTGCCATGAATGTACAACTTCACTGATGCAGTAACACTTTCATCCCTTGTTGATGCATGTGCAAGACCAAAATCAGCAACCTAAAAGCAGCAATATATCAAACTACAAACAGAGAACCAGAGAACCAAATAATTGTGCTGTAGACTAAGGTATCGTTTGGGACGGCTTTATTATTGCTTCTTAAAGCAACTTTCTAGCACAAAATTTTTATTTTTTATATTAAAAAACTGTTTTAAGAAGCAGTAAGAAAGCCATCCCAAACAAAGCCTAAGGTTTAGTTTGGGATGGCTTTCTTACTACTTCATAAAACAACATTTTAGTATAAAAATTTTACTATAAAAATAAAAAATTTTAAATTAAAAAATTGCTTTAAGAAGTAGAAAGAAAGTCGTCTCAAACGAAGCCAAAATTTCTTCGGATACCTTTGCAAGGAAATTTTTATCCAAGAGAATGTTGCTCGACTTTATATCCCTGTGGCACAGCGGCGGGTCACAGTAGAAATGAAGATACTCCTGCATGCAATTCACTGTCTCAAACTTCAGAAAACTTGAACAAAAGGTCACATCACTAACACATCACTCTGAAGATATGCTAATTGTATACTAGAGAATGTATATTTAGGGCTACCAAAATAAAATAAAACAAAAAGAAAAAAAAATAGTTATTTTGAACTCGTATGGTGGGCTGGCATGCCAAGGAATGCAGCTCAAATACACCTTCAGTATTTTTTTGTTCACCACATGAACAAAGGGGCTATATATAATTACCAGAGCATTGGCAACATCAATGGCAATTTGAATTCTGATCTCCCAAGTCAATGGAGTTTTCTCAGATGCTGTATAAATGAGAGAGAATTTATAGCTCAGCAAAAATAAATATATTTATATTTAAAAAATAAATGTACAGAAACTTAGCTATTAGCTAAAGGGTTACAGTGTAAATAGTCCTTCAAGCTTCCATTTTCCATGTATTCATATACCAAGAACCTGGAAAAGTTAATGAATATAAAGCTAATAAATATAATACAAGAATATTCAGAGATTGAATTATGATCACAAAAAAAACCACCTCTCACATCTTTCAACACAGAAACCTCTGAAAGCAACAAGATGCCGGTGATGCAGTCGGCTATGAAGTTCCATTTCTCGACAAAAAACACGCTTGTGGTGTTCTGCAACAGGGTTCATCCGCTTCACAGCAGCACTAGTGCCATAAGCAAATTGTGCTTTGTAGACTGTCCCAAATCCACCTCTTCCTATAATATTGCTGAAATTGTTTGTTGCTTTCTTTATTTCGTTGTATCTGAATCTTTGACAAATGATTGATGAACCTATAAGTTGATGTTGTTAATGTTAAAATGAAAAAGACATTATTAATATAAGATAAATTCAGTTGATTTAAATCATTCTAGTTTCTTAAGTATCCATTGCTTGCCGATACCAAATAAATTATTGGATAGATGGAATAATAAATTGGTGGATTTTTCTAGTTGAAACTGATAAATGGAAGGTTGAATTGATCAATCGACGGCTATAAAATTGTCCATTTGTAGCCTCATGTGAGAGTTCTGTATCAAATTTAAAGCAATGAGCAATCTTAAGATTTGATAGTCTACATGGTAGAGATTAAGATGATAATTAGACCTTCCTGATATTTGCGAAGGTGTGATTGATGGAACACATCACATGTTTTTGAGTGTGTGGTTTCTGCAGATTTTAGTTCCCCGCTCTTCTTACGAATAAGTAGTATCAAAATAATGACTAGCACAATTGCAAGACTGGTGACCATGATGCCAATTCCTGGAAACAATGCTAGCCGTAAAGTACCACGACGATGCTGCTTAATAGGGAAACCAGTTAGCTGCTGAGGAGCTTCTGCCGACACTATAGTTGGAGCTAGTGCAGGTGAAATTTGTTGAGATGATGGCTGGGGAGCAATCACTATAAAAGAAATTTGAAATTGTTAAAGGAAAAAGTGTATCGGTTGGAAGAGAAGGTTCAGATGGAACACTAATAGAGCTTAGTGCTCAATCACTAAATCAAATAAACATCAAGAATGAAAAAATTCTTACTCATTAGCAGTTGAAAAGTACTTTAGAACATCTTTATTTTGAAAATAAAGAAGAAATGCACAAAATTTACATGGTAACGATCAAAATTACGCAACAAAATGTACAAAATATATTTCTAAAGAAATCAGTCAGATGGCAATATAAAGTTTTAAACTTGATTAAAAGAAAGAGGATAAACTTGAATGCTTATCTAAAAAATTATTAGTATATAGAAGTTTTTAAAATAGAGATAACTTCTCAGTTTCATTCTTCTTACAATTGATCATACAAGGAATTGTTTGAGGCCTCCAGTCTCTAGTATAAATCTTGCTAATGTGATGATATTAGATAAAAGTCATGCAAATATTTCATTGATCAGCTTGGGACTTTTGGAGCGGAATACGAATACAGAATAGAAAAAAACGAAACCTGGTAGGATTTGAAGCTCTTTGATACTAAAGAAGCAGCTTGCAAGATCAATAGCCGAAGCATTATCACCTTGGTTTGCAAGTGCAACAAAAGCCGCATCACGGCAGGTATTTAAGGTAACATTATCCAGTGCTCCAATAAGATGGTGAAGGAAAATAATACTAGAGTTTACGCATCTCCTGCAGCTATTTTCTATCGAAAGTGGCATCTTGCAGTTTCGGATGACATCTTCAAAATTAGGAGTCTGTAGAAATTCTGATCCACTTGTTATCCCCTGGCACTGATAAGAGACATGAATTTTGGGCCCTATTCCACAGAACAAGGTGGCATTGTGAGGAATCCCATATGATAGAAATGTTTGTGTTACATAGTTGAGGCAGACATCATTTAATGCTGATGGCACCCCGAAATTGCCTGTTGTATTTGCATAACGAGCCACAGAAACAGTAACAAAAGCATTAAGATAGCGACAACATTTTGCTCTTTCATTTTGACTTGAACATGCAGATGCTGCCCATGTAAAGTTGGACCAAGTCATATCGAGAGGACAATCTGCATGGTTAAATAATATTAATAGCAAAAATCATTATGCTGATCTCCATCTTACAGAAATAACATTTTTTTTTCTCTGCTTCTATGGCCACAAAGTGGGACTAAAATATTTTTTATAAAAAATGCTAGCTTGTCGAATCCATGACAGCTAATGCTGCAATAATGTTATCAATCAAATAAAAAATCCAAAACATAAAGATAGGAGGGAATAAGATAATCAAAAAGCTTGGAGTATTCCATCAATAAAAAATTGCAATACCCAACAATAAGCTTTGATGTTCTAAGAATGAATTGCCTCGGAATATTTCAAAAAAATGAAATGCAAATACGTGCTAATTATCCATTTTGAAGGGTAGATTCTGAAGTAGCATCATCAACCTAAAAGTGCATCTCAAGTTCTACTTAACAATGAACAAAAACAAAACTCGAGTTGTTTAAACACATAAATTATCATTAAAGAAGTAAAGTGGAGAAACTTAATTGCAAGGGACAGTTTTAAAACTTGGGTTCCTCCCAGCAGTTTTTTTAAATTCAGGTCACGTGGATTAAAGCTTATCTGCAACATAACACAAGGTCGTCATAAATGCACGTCATCGAGGATCTTTTCAAAACCCTTAACTGAAGTAGCAATCTTCGAGGAGGTGTCCTTCTTTGGAAAGTATGTCATTATCACTAAATAAACTACTCAAGCTGTTTGCTCTGAACAAGCAGATAACTAAAGCCAAAAACAAAAACATCTTCCAAATTCAGGAAATAATTTGAAAGCTCCAGCCTCCAGCCCTAATAAATATACTAAACCTGATAGAACGCGCAACTCCGAAGATGTCCTGTCAATGGTATGCCAGTGCCTTCCACATAGCGGTCATTCAATCAAACAGTAGCAAAAACAACCTAATCGAATGTAATGCCAATCTATAACTGAAATGCCACATCAAAAAAGCATACAAGAAAAAAACTCAAGAAAGAAGTCATCATCGAATGATTCGAAACCATCAAAATCAAGCAAAGCATCCTAACAGGAAAAAAAAACATGTTCTATAGTATCTTAATATGAAAATAATCCAATCCATAATCATAAATTCAAGAAATACCTTAAAAAAGGAAAGCAATCCATCAAATAGATGGTGAGAATGGACGAGAAGCTGATCGCTTTTAGAACGATCAAAACTATAAGACATAGAACAGTATAATGACCTCACTCACCATCGGCGACCACCAGTAGCCGGCTGGACTCAAGAAACGACGCAACCGCCGCCAAAACTACCAAGATAAGAGCAGGCACCGGCATGACAGCCACGAAGAGAGAGAATGAGAGGGATAGATAGAGAAGAGGCCCCTCCGCCTTCTTTTTAACACTCTCGCTAGCTGCTCTCAAGCGTGGAGAGGCAAGAGGAATCAGGTTCTGCTCACTCTCAACTGGGCGTCGCACGTGCATTACCACGCGCAATAACCACCAGCTGTCGCAGCACGTGGGTGGGGGCCCAGCCAGGCAGCCAGCCCACCGGCCCATCCAGCCGAAAAGGTGAGCACTGCGAAGAATGACCGGCTCGGGAGATGGGGACCAAGATGGCGATCACGGTTAGTGGTGGCGAACCGAATACGTGGCAGTGGGGCCTACTTGGAAGAGCATATATTCTAATGGGGCCCAGCATTCCGTGAGCCGGTGGCGAGGAATGGCCGAACGTGGATTGAAGACTTTTCCCAAAAAAAAAAAAAAAAAAACAGTTGAATACTTTTATTATAATAGTTAGATTAATTTATGGTCAGGACGAACTAGTCTTAATTTTTAGGTGATAAATTTATAAGTAATTGTAGGTGTTGTCTCAACCTTTTATTATAATAAAATAGGTTAATAAATATCCTTATTTGTTCATATTCTTGATCGTCTTGGCAGATATATCAAGGGTCCAAGGGGGCAGTGCCTCCTGGCAGGGTTCAACCTGTCCAATCAGGTCGCGGGGATAATTGATAAATAAAATGATGAATCTTATTTACTATTTGTTGGAGGTAATTGCCTAAAGACCGCAATATTTTAAAATTTTTAGGGGGCGCAATTGGCTAAAGACCATTGTAATAAGATGAAAAAATAGATAGAGAGGGGACAAATTAACTAAGAATAATATAACTAAGATTTTTTTTAGGAGGGGGGGGGGGGGGGGTAAAAATATTATAGTTTTTTTTTGGGGGGGGGGGGGGGGGTGATTATGATTACTTATATTAATTTTTATAAAAATAATTTAAATTACTTTAACTCTTAATTTAGGTCGGGAGAAACTTAAGTAATTATTTTTATTTTAAATAATTTCTCATTTGAGTTACTCACCTTCGGCCTTTAATGTTCGTCTCATCTCTGACTCGCACTCTTTCACCTGCTTCTGAAACACTCTTGAATTATAACTTGATTTTTTTTATCTTAACCAACCAGGCTATTTATAGAAAGGGGAGAGGCAAGGTTTTCTAATTTTAGATTACTTAAAATAGTTAAAGTAATGACGTTACATTATTATTGAATTAGGGGTGTCAAAAGTTTACACGACCCAAAATCCGACCCGGACCCGACCCTAAAAATTCGATTTCGAATCAACCCGTTTGTAAAATAGGTCGAGTCTGAGTTCAAAATTTTGACCCGTTTGAAAAACTTCATCTCTGATACACTTCTATAAGACCTATAGTGACCTCTCAGTGCTACCAAATAGAGCAATTTAAGAGTTGCTTGTGAATGCCTTTGTATTACTCATCATAAAAGCCATCCAAATCTTACTTCAAATCACAATAAGCTCTTAATTGTTGTTTTCTAAGATCTCAAAGCTAGAATTAAAATTTTGTAGTGTGAATCCCACATGCCCTTGATTCATTGAATTGCTCTCATTGAAATGAACAAATCCATTTTAAGAACAAGACCCAAGGGTGGAACCTGGAATAGTTTATGGTCGGTTTTTTCTTCTTAGAAGAATAAGAATTTTAACTATTTTATCAACCTTTGATAAACTCGATTACTTAAATTATAATTTTTTTTTCATGCATAATATTATGCATTTCAGAATTCTATTTTGCCCATCCTAAAAATGAGTGATTCCGCCCGTGTTAACACCTATCATCAACATTTTCTAGTGATGATAAAATTAGGTCTTACACCTTGAAATGATTTTATACCATCTAATAATCAAATTTTTGGTCCATCAACTCTATTACGCACATAGAGTTGAGAGATTTAGGCTTCGTTTGGGACGGCTTTTTTATTGCTTTTTAAAACGGAGTTTTAGTACAAAAATAAAAAAAAATTGTACTAAAACTCCGTTTTAGAAAGTAATAGAAAAGCCGTCCCAAACGAAGCCTTATATAAGTGCCTTCTACTCACTAATTAATGACTTCATTACCGAGTTGTTATATTGGGCCTAATCCGTCCAATGAGTTGGCCCAATAGCAAAATCTTTGGTCACTTTGTGAAATATGGAGTGAATGATTTAGGCCATCCAATTCAGGCTTTTATTTTCCATGTTATGATTTTAAGAATGAATATATCCTCCCCAAAATTTATAAATGTCATATTTTTACACATTTTAGTTAAATTGAAGCACAAAAAAGTCCTAGATTTGTTAGAAAATTTTACTGCTTCGACTCTCATTTCGACCTCCAATCAACTATTTCTAAAGTTTTGTTGGCGCAAATTTCTCTTTGCATGCTTTATTACCCTGCCTCTAATCAAAGTAGTCAGGCCTAATCCAAAATTGACCTAACCCAAATTTGGTCGACCCAAACTAATCTACTTTAGTAAATAGGTCAAAAAATATCAACTTAAATCCGACCTAGAACCAACCTGAATGACTCAAACCTCACTAGTTAACATGTTTTTGTTTTAAAAAACTATTTTTGATAATTTATTAGTTATAAAGTTTAAAACATTTGATAAAAAAATAAGAAGATTATACCTATAAATTAAATAAAAAAAAACTTAAGAAAAAATATATTAAATGGGTCAATTTATGGTTCAAAAGATGGTTTGTGGGTCTGCTCTAATTCAACTCATTTATTAAATGAGTCGGAAAACTCAACTTAAATACGACCATATAGTCATACGACCATTAGTATCTAAATTTTTTAGGTTAGATACTAATCAAAATGCTGAAACGGATCATTTATTAGAGAAATTATTATGTGCGGACACCGGACGGAGAGAACCGTCCGGATTTGCTGCACTTTTACTGAGTATTCACTGCGCTTTTGTAAATATCAGTAAAAGTGCAACAAATATTCAATTATGAATGCATTTTTATTGAACAGTTGCTGTGATTTTAATACTCAATAAAAACGCAGCAAATATTCAATTATTTAGTAAATATTCAGTATAAGTGCAGCAAATACTAAGTTAATAAGTTAAAGTGCAGAAATCTGCCAAAAAATTTGCCTGTGTCGTATGATAAAATTGCCAAGTCGACGGCTCTCGCTTCAACCAACTTGCATTTTGCTCTAGCCATGGCGAGAGTTCTCGAGAGAAACCTGTTCTGCCACCCATTCACACCCAAATTGATATTCATCTCCTCATTAGATCAGAAGTTTGGGCAAATTCTCAATAGCAATAGAATACTTGTTCCATATATATTTCGTCTTTCTCTTTGAAAGTTTTTTATTTTTTCGGTTTTTTATGTTTAGATGGCTACATTTCTGCCACATTCATGATTTTTTTTTTTTTTTTTTGTATGTTTAGACATGCAAGGCTTCGGACAACTTTTTTTTTATACAAAAATTTTGTATTAGAAAATTGCTTTAAAAAATAGTAAAAAAATCATCTCAAACGAATCCTTAATCTATAATTAATTTTGTATTAGAAAATTGCTTTAAACGAATCCTTAATCTATAAAGAAAATTTCCTTAGCTCTAACTATGTTTTTTTTTTCAAACTACATATTTCCAAATTATTAAATATATCTGAATTTTAAGTGATGCGTCTTAGTACTGTACGAGTATCCAACTCACAAATATAAATAGTAAAAACACCGGAACTTTTACGTAAAAATTTTAGAAAAACGAAAAATCACGAGGCCATGCTCATTCGAAATGATTCCACTATTGTTTGAATAGATTACAAAGATTGAGCAATCTCGAAACTTGATGACGGTGAAATTACACAATAGTTTGGAGGGTTGGATAGGAGTCCATTTTCAATTGATAGCCGGGCATAAGTCCGATGTTGGTTGGTAGCTGGTCATAAGTTCGATGTTGGTTGGTAGCTAGGCAGAAGTTCGGCGACGACTAGTGATCTAGTGGCAGCTCAAAGTCCGGCAGTGGCCCGATGTCGGTCGGTGGTCCTTCGACGGTGGTCGATGAGTAGTCTTGTGGCAATAGAACGCTAGCTTCTCTGGCTTTCTTCACTTCCTTGTGGGTCCCCTCTTACTAAGGAATGAGTGATCTACTTATAGGTTTTTGGAAATGACATGACCAATAAATATGAAGAAGATTTGGAAGTAGCATGGACAATAAATAAGAAGAAAATCAAGGGCAGGTTGGGAGAGTTTCTAATGGACGAGAAATATCAACTCCATTGATCGTGGAATATTTATCAAGAGCATTTGACTATCATAATGATATCAAAATTCGGCAATTTTGTGCTCGTTGGATTTGTCTCGTCACGGTGCTCGATTCAACTATAAGCATGTCACATTTGGAAATCGACTGATCGTACAATTTATGGTTAAAACTTTATGAATGTGCTTCGGGTCTTCGATTTGGATCCATTTGGTCTCTTATTGGATTGAATTTTGGGTCGTTAGGTTTTCTTTTTTGAGAAGTTCAGTTCGACTATAAGTTTGCTGAAATCAGAGCTTGAATAGTTTCCAAAGTTTATTTTTGATGTTATATCAATTTCGGAATTTTCCAAGTTGATTTTGCCTTGGGATTTGTGCCCAATCATGATTAATTTTTGATGGTATATCACTGATAATAAAATTGACTGGCATTTCAAGGGTCCTTACCCTTTTTTATTTTCGTTTGAATTTCGGTGGATTTTTTTATTTCAAAAGTATTTCAAATTTTAAATTTTTTTACATACAAAATCCACTGCAAAATTAAAATTTCATGAGAATTTTCTACCAAACAACTTTTATTTCTTGGTAGTGATTACCCTCTCATGCTTGATGATGAAAGATTGCTAGCACATATCATTTGATTATCATCGTCGAATGGGTTGACTCCCATGTTCGCTGCCACCTATGATTTGATGCTCTCCCCAATCAATACTTCAATTGATAAGCGTAATAATGTTATATTTTTATTAATTTGTCAATAAAAATGTGTTATTTTGATTGTATTTGTACAGAAAAATACATGAAATGAAAAAAAAATTCAAGTACTGATACAACATCGTGGAATCAGATACAATACCATCGTGGTGTCATCATTGACACCATCGGAGCGCCAAAATGTAGAGATGGTGGCACCCAATCTATGTCTAGACAGTGCCGTAGGAGTCATCAT